GGGTGTAATTGGCCTCAGAACCTCTGTAGCTTCGGCTCCAGAAACCCAGTGGTCGCCCTCGCGTCTCGCCAGGCACCTTTTGCCAGAGGCTCCAGGAGGGACCTTTATCTCCAGCTGCAGAGTAGAGCACATTCTTTACATCTGGTCCTGTTCTAACTGGTCCAAGAGCCACAGCATGTGCAATTTCTTGCTTGATCTGCTTGAAAGCTTGTTGTTGTTCAGGACCCCACTGGAAATTGTTCTTTTTACAGGTCACAAAGTAAAGAGGGCTCACAATCTGACTGTATTCTGGGATATGCATCCTCCAAAAACCTATTGCTCCCAGAAAAGCTTGGGTTTCTTTCTTGTTGGTGGGGGGAGCCATTGCTACAATCTTGTTGATTATGTCTGTTGGTATCTGGCGTCGTCCATCTTGCCATTTCACCCCTAGGAATTGGATCTCTCGGGCAGGTCCCTTGACTTTGCTCTTCTTGATAGCGAAACCGGCCTCGAGGAGAATCTGGATGATCGTCTGTCCTTTTTTGAAAACTTCCTTTGCTGTATCCCCCCATACAATGATATCATCAATGTACTGGATGTGTTCGGGAGCCTTACCCTTCTCTAGTGTAACCTGGATCAGTCCATGACAGATGGTTGGACTGTGTTTCCACCCCTGGGGCAGTCGATTCCAGGTGTATTGAACGCCCCTCCAGGTGAAAGCAAACTGTGGCCTGCACTCTACCGCTAAAGGAATGGAGAAAAACGCATTGGCTATGTCGATGGTGGCGTACCACTTTGCTGTCTTGGACTCCAACTCGTATTGGAGCTCCAACATATCTGGCACGGCAGCACTCAACGGTGGCGTAACTTCATTTAAGCCACGATAGTCCACAGTCAGTCTCCACTCTCCATCGGATTTACGCACAGGCCAGATGGGGCTGTTGAAGGGTGAATGGGTTCTGCTGACCACCCCTTGGCTCTCCAACTTTCGGATCATTTTGTGGATAGGGATCACAGCATCTCGGTTTGTCCGATACTGTCGTCTGTGTACAGTTGTTGTGGCTATTGGCACTTCTTGATCTTTAACTCGCAGTAATCCTACAATGGAAGGGTCTTCTGAGAGGCCAGGAAGGGCAGACAATTGCTTGGACTCCTCTTCAATCACCGAGGCTATACCAAAAGCCCACCGGTACCCTTTCGGGTCTTTGAAGTATCCTCTTCTTAGGTAGTCCATACCAAGGATGCAAGGGGCTTCTGGCCCCGTCACAATGGGACGCTTTTCCCATTGGTCTCCCGTCAAGCTCATGTCCGCCTCTACTACTGACAATTCTTGAGACCCTCCAGTCACTCCAGAAATAGTAACAGTCTCGGTACTCTTATACTCTGAAGGCATTACAGTACACTGGGCTCCAGTATCTATCAAGGCCTGGTATTTCTGAGGATCTGATGTGCCAGGCCATCGAACCCACACAGCCCAGTAAACTCGGTTATCTTCTTGGTCCCTCTCCTTCTCCTGGCAGAAGGCAGGGCCCCTCTACTGGTCTTGATCAGAGCATTCGTCGTCAGAGTTTGACCTTTGACTTCTTAGACTTTTTGCTGTTGTCAAAGTGGACCTCCATTTTCTCGTGTTTCGGCGATCGCAGTTTCTAAGAAATCTCCGTCTACTACGTAGACAACTTTCTTGTCAGTCTTCTTTCGCTTCAGCTCCCTCACTCTAGCTTCAAGTTTAGAAGTGGGTTCACCATCCCACTTCTTCATGTTTTCTCCTTTATTACGAAGGTATGCCCATAGTTGGTTACGTAACCAACGCTTAGAGTTCTCTTTCCTTCGACGTGTGAATGACAGGGACCGTGAGCGAGATCGAGACCAGGATCGAGGTCTAGGCCGAGATCGTCTTTGTTGGTCCCGCCGTGATCTTCCCATTGGCCTTTCTTGGTAATCTCTATACCTTCTGTCCTCTCTGTCTCTAAGGTTGTCCTCATATCTGGAATATTCATAATCTCTCTCCATTCTTTCCCTGTCGTAGGTGCGTCGGTAGAGAGGATTGAAGGAGTCTTCCATATTTTCCTCTATGGTTCTTATCCAAGTACACATGGTTTCCACGTTTGGTTCCTCCATCTTTGGATTATATGCGGATATCAAGCAGGAAACATATGGTTTAGGAGCACCTTGAATTACATTTTCCACATTGGTTGCGTGCAGGGAACACTCTCAGGAACTTGGATGTCATAATAATCTGGATCAGAATAGATGATCTCCAACATGGCCAATTCCCGTAGGTATTGGATGCCTTCTTCCGCAGTTCTCCACCTTCTTGAAGAACTCTTCAGGGACTCCTTAAATGGGTATTTCACTCTCACTGCGTGGAGGATTCGGAGCCAAAGGCTGGACGCCATTTTCTCTCTCCCCATTTCTTGCTCTATCACAGGGTCTCGAGCAATGGATCCCAACTGTCGTGCTTCATCACCTTCAATTACATGACTATCAGCTCCCTTGTCCCAGCATCGCACCATCCAGGTGAGGACTTCTTCACCAGGCAAGCGCATATAATCTCTCCGTAAATCTCGAAGCTCTCTTGTGGTCAGTGATTGTGTAATTTCACTTTCTCGCATTATTTCTTGTCCATCTCTCCCACGTAGAATCTTTTCCACCTCTCTCTTTACTCTTCCACTCCTACGTGGGACTGCTCCCACTTCCTCCCTATATCTCTCGTGTGGAGGTGGAGACTGGGCATGCCGTGGGGATAAGCTTCTATATTGTTCACGCCGTGGAGATGGATTTCTACGCCGTTCATACTGTGGGGATGGACTCTTACGCCACTCGCGCCGTGGAGATGGACTTCTGCGTCGTTCACGCCGCGGAGATGGACTTCTATACCAATCACGCCATGGGGATGGACTCCTGTGTCGTTCGCGATACCCCGCGGGTGGAGGTAGTGAGTAATCTTTCGCGTGCTGAGATAAGGGCCTCCTCCTCCAATCATTCACACCTCCAAGAGAAGGTTGGGTCTGGAGGGGTAGGGATAATTCCCCCTCCATTTGAGGGGAATGCTTTGGCTCCTTCTTTGCGTCCTTTGCAACACTGAATGTGTAGTCAGGGTATAAATCATCAAGCGACAATACACCATCGGCCATTTGTACTGTTGCTTTCTTTCCTTTTGATGCCATTCTGTATTCCTTTGGGCGTGCCCCTAGTTCCTTTGGACGTGCTTCTTCCCGTGTAACCGTTTCTTCCTCTTTGGTAGCTGCTTCTTCTCTTCCAATCACTCCTTCCTCAGTCACAACCACTTCTTCCTCTCTCGCAGTCGCGCCTTCATCACTTGCTGTCGCGCATTTATCACTTGCTCTTGCTCCTTCTCCCATTGCTGCCGCTCCTTCGTCCACTACGTCCTCTGTTCCTTCTTCTTCTTCTTCTTCTTCTTCTCTTTCTTCTGTGTGTTCTAGTTGCGGAGATGGGTCCGTAAGTTCCTTGATCTCCCTTACCCACGTTGTCTTCTTCTTTATAGGGGCAATGATGACCTTCCGGTTCTTAGCTTGGGTCCCGGTTCTAGTGGACTTAGTAGAAATGGCATTGACTTCAGGTTGTGTTTGGACCCCAACTTCTGTGGACCTAATAGGGACATCACTGGTTTCAAGTGGCGTGGTTTGGGTCTCTGTGTCGACCTTAACCCTCTGAAGGTGGTCTATGGCAGCTCGATAAGCATTAGCCAGGCCCCAGCACAGAGCGGAGAATTGCATATTCGCGTCTTTGTAGGAAAAGCACCCTTCTGCCAAACAGTGGGCCATCTCACCAGAGTCAAACATTTGTTCTGGTGTGAACTCCCAATTAATGGGGGGTGACACATGTCCTGCTAATCTACCGAAATCTTTCCAAGCTCCATGCCACCCGGAGACTGGCCTGTCTGCAACCCTTTCCAAAGTTCCAGCGAGTCCCTTTGAGGTGTGATCTTTCCTACAAGAGGGAAAGCAACGGAACCCCATTCTTCCAAGTTTAAGGAGCACTTCCAGTACCTTTATCAATGACAGTATGGTTGCGACAAGATTTACATAGTAATTAGAGCCGATTTTGACCATGGGGATCTCCTTTACCAAACCTTCGATGTCAAAATTAAAGGATGGAAGCAATTCGTTCCATCCATCCTCAAGGTCTGAACGCCTCCCTATAGAGTAGCCTAACACAGGTGTAAAGATGGCTAGAATTATAAGACCAATTAATGAAATAGCCATTGTTTTTGTTATTATTTCTTCCTGATCCCAAAACAAACTTTGTTTATATAAACAAAGTTTCCTTGGTTGCTTTCCCAGACTCTGGCAGTGTTCCCAGACCTGTTCCCAAAACAATAGATTGGTTTGCAAAACAACACTGAGCTTGGTTGTCTTCTCGGAGAATGTTTATCAAAACAAGTCAAGTTTAACCAAAACAACCATCCTCTGCTACCAGAAAACATTGTACAAGTTTCGAGCTGGCTTCCCGCCAAGTCCCCCCGAAACTCAACAACAAGGACCCGCCTCCCAGAGAGGGAAAAGAGGGAAAAAAAAACTAAGCAGCCAAAGCTATAGTAAATATATATATATATATATTTTACATATGAGACAGATACACAAAAGGAAAATACCACACACCTTGGGGGGGGGCGGGGGGGAAGGGAAAAGGAGAAAGACAAAAAGGGGCAAGGACCGAGCAAGTCAAACAGCCAGCCGAAGGCAAACTAGCAGAAATCTCTCCACTTCCCTTCGAACAGGCAGAATGACCTGACGCAGCCCAAGGCTCTCCTCTCACGCGTGGCGGATAACGGCAGTCACTGTAGGCCTCGGCTCCAGATAAGCCCAACCGAAACAGGGACCCACCGTTCTCGAACCTCGCCGGAGAGGAAGAGGGCGCGATCCCTCCCACTGGCTTTATTTATACCTCCAGTTACGTAAAGGAATAGCATGGAATACTTCCGTGATCACTTTTCTACTTCCTTCCTGGTTACAAGTTGGTCTCCAGGAAGGCCTAGGGTGAAACCACCACATGTGTCAAACTCTGGGGTTTATTAATTGAGACAGAAGCAGATATGTTTCTGAATGTTAGTTCTTTCTCTGTGTCCATTCAATCCCACATGCCTCAAGCCCTGCACTCACACAATATATTGGCACTGGTAGGGCTTCCCTTACTGGTGGGTCCGTTGGTGTGAGGTCAAGGTAGAGCTCTGGGTGAAGCTCTTCCCACACTCCCCACACTTGTAGGGCCTCTCCCCGGTGTGGATGCGCCGGTGCCTGATGAGGGTGGAGTTCCGGTTGAAGCCCTTCCCACAGTCGGTGCAGCGGAAGGGCCTCTCATCCGTGTGTATCCGCTCATGCGTGTAGAGATGTGAGCTGGTCATAAACCTCTTCCCACATTCCAAGCATTTGTAGGGCCGTTCTCCGGTGTGGATGCGCTGGTGGGAGCGGAGGGTAGAGCTCTGGTTGAAGCTCTTCCCACAATCACCACACTTGTAGGGCTGTTCCCCAGTGTGGATGTGCTGGTGGGTGCGGAGGTTGGAGCTGTTACTGAAGCTCTTCCCACATTCTCCACACGTGTAGGGTCGTGCCCCAGTGTGGATGCGCTGGTGGTTGAGGAGATCAGAGCTGTCTCTGAAGCTCTTCCCACATTCCCTACACACGTAGGGCCGTTTCCCTGTGTGGATCTGCTGGTGTCGGATCAGGTGGGAGCTGTTCATGAAACTCTTCCCACATTCCAAGCACCTGAAAGGCTTCTTTCTAGTGGGAGGTTGCCTTGGGACAATGACGTTGGACTTCCTGCTCAAGCTCTGGCCACCTTCCCGGCACAGGCTAGGTCTTTCCTCCTCAGAGCACCCTGGGCTGGCTTTGGAGCCCCTCCTGCGGGGGGATCTCCAGCCCTTTTCCTCCCCGCTGCCTTCCTGCACTGGGGAGCCCTTCAAAACGGCCTCTCCCACCAGGGTCTCA